TTAAATACTTTGCTATATATAAGGCCTTAGTGTCATCAACCTAACTATTTTGTTAGAGTGTTTGATATAGTAGAGAATTTTTAAGTTGGTAATGGCCAGAGTTATTATTGAAAGGTGAATTTTAACTATATAGTATATTATTTATTTGCAAAAATTATTATTGTTTCAAGAGTAAAATAGGAAATTAAAGTATCAGATAAAATAACTATTTACTTTATTTTTGGCAACTTATTTAAAAGATGTCTAAGTTATTATAATTTTATTTAGTTTTTAAGATTTTGGTTAATTAATTGATTGGATCTTCTCTGGTATCACCTTAAAAAGTGTAAGAATTGAAAAGTTTGTTTAGATTAGGATTAGAGAAGCTCTAATAGTAAAGTTGTCCAAGAAAAACTTTTTGTTAAAGCATTAAAGGTAGTTTTTTATACTGCTTCTTAAAACAAGCAATATTTAACAAAGCGAATATTTGTTTTAAATTTTCTGATTGTGTAATGGTTAGAGTTTGAAGCTGAGTTTATTTTTTATATTAAAACTGAGTTTAATTGGTTTTAAGATATAAAAAATAAAACTGGTCTCAAACTCTAATAACATTACACCTGATTAATATCTTTCAGGTGATACTAGGTAGTGGTAGTTAATCATATAATATTTGTATTGTATAATAATTATATAGCATTTTAGACCAATTATATAATCTATATAAATTACATGATATAGGTAAATATACAGTCAGATCTCTCTATAGTCACCTCCTATATAAGTACATTTTTTTTTTTTTAATATTAAGGTGACCACTTAGGCTTTTGGCACTTTATTAATACAAGTGGTAGGCCAATGTTAATTTTAGCACCAGCTTTATATATTACATCAGTATCACGAGAGTACAACTAGTCACACATACAACTTTTGATTGCCTATTTAAGTAGTCTGCCCAAAGTTTTAGTGCTATGCTAGGGGTTCTACACTAGCTATCATACCTATAGCCTAACTAGGAAACTATTTATTTAAACTCTCTAGCTTCAACCGACATCACATAATTCCTCCTAATATACCTCCATATAGAGAGTAATTTATTGTTAAAAACCCTAAGACTTTAGCCAACAACAGAAGGCATTTATCTTTGTGGTAAACCTAACAAAGTGATGCATGTCTCACACATGTGCTCACCTGCATGTTTGGTAACTTCTTTCTAACTAGTACCTGTTGTACTGCCGCCACCGAGTTTGTATCTCAAGCCAACTTTTGGGGTGCTGCCGTAATCTGATCCGTATCTCAAGCACAACCTTCCTAATTAGTTAACAATTATGTACTCCTGCCCTTGTAAGGTTTACAACAACCCCAGTACCCATATTCTAACTGTCTTTTTATCTGGATTCCTTATCGGCCCCTCCCTTACTTCCAGTCGGCAACCTGAAAAGGTTGGTCTGCCCAGGCTTTAGATGTCTGAAGGACACCCTCCCCTTAGTCCATACTTTCAGAGCATATGGCCTTTTCCTCTAGTGTATCTAAACCGGTGGTTTGGCTAGTGTGCCCCCCACTAAAGGACCTGGTTACTCAGTTCTCTAATCTCGGGCCCCAGTTCAAATTCAGCCTTCCTGTAGTACCGTTAAAGATCACTGCTACATCCTACTCGGGACTTCCCAAACAGGCTTTGATCCCTGGTCCTGTGACCTGCGCTACGCACAACCCACAGATTACAGCCTTCCGGAATCTTTTCCCCAGCTCTACAGACCGGATCACTAAATTATCCCTGGGCCAACCTAAGTAGAGATTGTTGTCTGACATATTCTATTTCTTTTTAAAAGTGTCGTTCCTGGGATTTGAACTTAGGACTTATACTATTACTATTTGGTGAGGGTGACGACTAGACTACTTCACTAAGGTGCCACACCTCTTTAGCACATTTTCTATATAAGCATGTTTTTTTAATATTATATATTTGACCTCTATAATTGTCACACTTCTTTACAATCACATATTTTTGTATCTCGAGTGTGTGATTATAGAGAGATTTGACTGTATTATTATTATTATTATTAATTATTATTATTATTATTATTATTATTATTATTATTATTATTATTATTATTATTGTTTCAATAGTAACTACTTTATTATATCTGAATAGTTAAGTTATTACATAATAGTACAGTAACCTAGTATATATATTTCTATATATCCCAAGCCTCTTCTCTTGTGGTGTTATAGTTTTCAGACTACTGCACCCCTACTCATGTGTAAAGCTTTACTCGGCTGCTCTATAGTGTCCAAGTATAACTATTTAACCACTAATTTTTCTTCCCTTTGGCCCCTAACTTGCTAGAAGATTCCCTTCTGGATCAACAGAAGACTATGCTTGCCTAATTATTATTATTATTATTATTATTATTTTTATATTAAGCAATCCTGCTTTTATTTATTTTTTGAAATACTATATAACTATTATACAAAGTATTACGTCAAGATAGTATATTGCTTTATTTTAATAAAGACTTACTAGCCTAATAACTTAATATGACCTGCTATAACAACTGTTTATATCTCTCAGGATTCATAACTTACTAAGAATTTCATATCGATTAAAGATATCTCTTCGATCATCAATTGGCCGTTGTATGCTATATTATTATTATTATTATTATTATTTTTTTTATTTTTTTTTTTATTTTTATTTTTTTTTTTATTTGGTAATCCTGCCTTTATTGTATTAGGAGTGTATAATCTAAATACATAGTTTCTGAACAAAAAGCCTGCAATAAACTTATTGCCTTCTACCCTTCTACTCTTTAATAAAGACTTACTCAGCTGCTCGTAATAGTGCCCAAGTGCGATCTGCCACAGCAATAATTCACTCTTCTCTGGCATCTAACTTACTAGATGACTCCCCGAAAAAATCACAGAAAGCTTATTGCTAGCTTTGTCAAGATTGCCTTTTTCTTAATATTTTTCTTTCTTTAAAGAGGTATATAACAAATGGGGGTAATAAAACAAAAACACAAATAAAATGAAAATGACAAAAACAAAAGAGAAAAGGAAAAAACAAAGAAGAATGTAGAAAAAGAAAACAAATATGAAAGAGAATATAAAAGAAAAAATTACAAAGAAAAGAAAACAAAAAAGATAACAGAAAATTCCTTCTTTTTAGCACTACTATTACCTGTGCTAGGCTGAAAAAAATTATATAACAAATACAATATTTGTATATCTCTAGTGTAAGACTTTGCCTCATCAAATAAATTTTCTGACTAAATCATCTGGACTTCTAAACAATGTAAGTGGTCCAACCTCAGTATTACATGAAGTAGCATAGTCCATAAACAAAACAAACCAGACATGTGATCGCAGTCTGCCAAAACTGTTCAGATTTGGAAAGTGTAAACAATGCTGATCTTTTGGAGGGGGTAAGCTATTTTGCTCACTTTTGTGGGAAATTTTGAAAGAGAGTGAGGAGGCAGAGAAAAGGGATGAAACCACTTTGTTTTGTTTAATAAAAGAGTGTGTATTTTCTTTACTCAACACACTGAATCCATAGGAAGGTGCTAGTACTCTTTTTATTTTTTCAGGTAAGTGATAAACTCTGGGCTTGTTGGCAAATAGCATATGAGAACTATTTCTAAACAACAAGTGCCCAGCCCCGTGGTAAGTGATAAACTCTAAGAAAGTTAGCAGGTAGTATATGAGAACTATTTCTAAATAACAACTGCTGAGTTACAGAGCTTAAGGACTACTTCCCAGACTGTTTCTACCTTTACAAACACTTGTATTTTTTAAGAATTTTGGATTTTTGTGGAAAAAAAGTGATCGTATATTTATCTATAGTTAATATATTATTTTACTTTATATTTATAACAAATAATTTAAAGATTTAATATACTGTATTTTATAAGTTATTTTATATATATACAGTATATGTATTGATTTATTTTATAAGAATTGATCAATTTTATTTTATACTGTAATTTCAAAGTATAAAATCTAAAAGTATTTTAAATAAAATATTATGCCAAAAATTTTTAAATCATATTATGCTGTATAACTTTTTGTAGGCAAATTTACCTGCAGATGCTTAACACACGAAGGAATAATATTACAATAGTTATATTTTGTGCTTGCATTATATTTCTCTATCTCTTTTGATTAACCTCATGAGGATGTTTATTGATTTAACTTTTCACAGAATGGACTTAACTTATTGATGGCCTGGTTTTATACATAGGTGTTAACAGAATTATCTTTGAACTTCAATTCATGGTATCCTCATTATACGTGTCAAATCAACATTAACGGTCATGGTTTTTGTGATAATATCATGTCGAAGAATTCGATCTTTTGACGTAACAGTTTCACTAGTTCCGCTTTATTTAAAACATTTTCTAACAAATTTTAATCAAAACCACATATTACATAAATGGAACAAATTATCATTTAAGTAACAATGTACTATTTATCTAATTTCAATGGTACATCCCATCCTAATTTAATTGCAAGAGAATCGTCCACCGGCTTAGTAAAACCGAAGACCACAAATTCTCGCTCTCGCAAATGTTTATCCATGATCATGGAAATTTTTTTTTTTTTTAGATTATCAATGTATTGACGTACAATTCGAACGAGTCCTTCTCTATTTCCCCACAATTAAAGATAGTAAGATGTGTCAAATTCTTGCGAATTATTTTTGGAGGTTGCAAGTTCGGGTCCGCATCAAAACTTTTCTTATCTGTCCAAAAATATATTTCTAAATATTTTTTTTTAAAAAAAAAATAATAATTCGAAAATTGTAGTCGAGGCTTTGGAAAAAAAACACTTAACAATGCAGTTAACCGATGAAGAATTCGATGACTATGATTATTTCAAAGAATTAATTTAAATTTTATATTTCATATTTTCGAATGTGCATAATGTGATCTAATAATAAAAAAAAAAGGTCCACTTAATTAAAAAGATTTTATTAGCTTCTTTTCGAGGTACAAATTTTTTTTTTTGCTCCGAATAATATCAATCTAGAAACCCAACTCTTCTTTAGTCAATATTCCCAATTCATCTTTAATAGGTTTCAATTCCTCCAAATACTGGTTATATTGACTAGAATTTTCAACTTTTTGTTTGACACCTTCAAAAATTCGAACAGCGGTCGAAAAATCATTTACGCGTCTGGCGGCTCTAAGAGATGCTTCAACGACCGATGGCGCCGGCACTAAATCATAGGCAAAACAGTTGTTAAGGCCTCTTTTCAATTCAAATTGATCGTCAACTCCGTCAAAGAATTTTACGTATCGTTCAGTAAACGCTTCATAAGATTCACTTTCATGACCACTAGAATAAAAACGTATACCTTTCGAGTATAAAAAAATATTGTATCGGTTATAAAATTAATATAATTGATTATTAATTTTCGAAAATCTATATTTATTATTTGAAGAAGCATACCCTTGTATGAAGACTGACTACAATTGTTAGACAAAACCCTTTTCGTAAAGCCAGTGAAAGACGAAAGACGAAGCCCCCTAGCGAAACTCTAGTAAAGGCAGAGCTATGTTAGTAATCAAAAGTATGTTATTGTTAAATGTAATAACTGTTATATTAGGAACGTGATTTATATTGGGCATACCATTACTGCTACGTAGCAATGTTAAATGTCAAAGTTCAGAAGTTGCGAAGGTCGAAACCTCTTTGAAACCGGTTTATTATGTTAAAGCCGGTTTTAGCATATCTGATATGAAAAATAAATTTGTAGATAACGATAATCTGGTTAGCACCAAAAGGCAAAGCCTAATAAATGATTGGTCGTACTTTTGTCCAATTAAATTTAGAATTCTTGATTAGAGATGTTAATGCTATTAGTCTAAATAAAATGTTCTACGCCCTTAAAAATAACCTTAATGTAAAAATTGTGTAAAAATTTTATACTTAGAAAAATATATAATAGGTGTAAAACACGTTTTACGTTTAAATAATAAAAATTGTATATATATAATATATAATTATTAAAAACAGATTAAATATCTAGTCCCAAATTTAATAATATTAATTATATAGCATTTAAATATTATACGTAAACATTTTTTAATTTTCAAACAAATTTACCTAAATAAGTTACAAATTTAAAAAAAATGTTGCACTTATTTACATATAGATTAATTACATTCTAATTTCATATAGAGCATAGTGCATTTTAAAAGTCACCATTCCGTTTTGGACAATTAATATCGTTTAATACGAGGTTGCTTCAATATTCTTATAGCGTCCTTGGAAAACACATAGCTTATACCAGACCAAATTGTTGTTCCCGCGACAGTATACCTGTGAGTTTCATTCATGTATGTTATGTCCAAAGATTATAATATGCCTAAAAATAACATCAAATTTTTATTTATGTACATACTGTAATGTTTTCAAGAATGGAACGTTGATCCAACCGAATACTGGGCTAGCAAGCGTCGTACCCATGAGCACTAACTGCAGAGCGGTATTCACCTTTTATAAATATATATTCCATGAGTTCACGAGTTATTACATCGGTGATCGTCTAAAACTTGAAATTAATCATACCTTACTAATTAGAGTTGGTCTGACTTCTGCTGATGGAATTGATATATCGAAATATCTGGATAATGTTTTCTAAAAAAGTCCTAACATTATTTATTACCTTCATAATTAATTAAATTATAAAATTCCGAAAAACTTTACCGGTGATGGAAGTGAAATATATCTATAATAAAAAGACGTTAAAATAAGACAAAAATCTCGGCCTAAAATTATAGTCGCTACCGGTACTTAAAAAAAAAAAGAGTATTATAAGATCAAAAATGTTGTTCTTAAAAATAATTAGTGTACAAAGTATTTTTTTGTCAATCAAAATTTACTTGGTAATAAATCCTTCATGGCCAAAGTAATCGTCAGAATGGTCATTAATATTTTATCTGCCAATGGATCAATTGCTGTTCCTATCATGGTTTTCAGATTATAATGCCGAGCTATGATTCCGTCTAACTATAAATTTAAAATTTTTATTTCAAAAATCTATAGTTATATTCTATTAAATTAAATATTATCAAATCCATACCAAATCAGTAACGCCAGCATACACAAATGCACATAACGCGATCTCATATTGTTCGCTTAAAATAAAATATCCAACAAATGGAGAAACAATTAATCTAGACAATGAAAGCACATTTGGAATATTTAAAATGGTTTCTCTTAATGGTATCTTTTTAAACTTATAAAAATAGTCATTATTAGCTCATAATGAAATATTTTACTATTATTTTATTAGTATAAAGTTTATACCTTTTTTTTTGTACATTTGTTAGCCGAACCCATTTTCGTGAATGGTGAAAGACGAAACCTAAGGCCTGTGAAAGACGAAAGACGAAACTTCCTTTCGATAGGAGAGAGACGAGACCCCGGGCGAAAGGTGAAGCCCCTCGTCGAAAGGTGATAACCCCGACGAAATATGAAACCTCTGGAGAAAGACAATACTTCGAAGATCTAATAAAAAAACCAAATGCAGAAACATAGCTTATATTGTGAAAATTTACCGTTACTGCTAAAAAATATTCTACAATTTACCGAATTCATTTGTATGATTGGCTGATGAAATCAATTGCAAGAGTAACTTATTTATACAGTAGGGTGATTCGTCAATCACATGAAGCGTATGTTCATGGAGCATCCATGGGTTGGTCCGCATGTGCCGGTTTTGATAAAAATTTTTATCTGTTATCGTTAATTTTGATGATAAGCATATATGGTTACACACCTGAGTTTATCGGTGTTTCGAAAACTCAGAAACCCAAATTATTATGTCGACGGACGTTTCAACTACTGGTGTAGAAATTGACCACCTTGAAAACACGATTGAACCTAAAGTGGTCGAAAAAAAAGTGACTACTAGTGGTTTAAAATCGTTCCTCGCGGGAGGGTTTGGAGGAATATCAGCTGTACTCGTTGGTATATATCAAAATAGCAGTATACAGATGCAAAACGCTTTAATTACTCCCGGCCATTTATTATTATTATTATTATTATTATTATTATTTTGTTTCAATAAGGGCATCCATTTGACTTGGTCAAGGTTGGTACATGGTATCATGTTGTGGGACTATTTTACAAACCTAAAGTGAAAAATTTATATGAAGGATATATTAAAATTAGGTACGATTACAAACTGCACCTGAAGGGACCTACAATGGTACGGTTGATGTTGTAAAAAAAACGGTCGCAAAGGATGGACTACGTGGGTGAGTTACATCGTCAATCCTTTTTTTTCTATTCATCGGTTATCATTAATATTTTTTGATGTTGATCCAGTTTATATCGTGGTATGGGACCTCCACTAGTCGGTATAACACCGATTTTCGCAATAAGTTTTTGGGTGGGTTTGCATAGTTAATAATCGGAAGTTATTACAATATATTTTACCGATTATTTTAATACATTTTGATAGTCTTATAACCTTAGTAAACAAATTGTGTACGCACTTACACCAAATCGCAAATCACAAGAGCTCAGTATACTGGAATATACAATTGCCGGTGCTTTATCCGCGGGTCCAACCACATTAGTAATGGCACCAGTTGAAAGGATTAAAGTGATATTACAAATTCAAGGTCAAGGTGGTGAAGTTAAATATAAAGGGCCACTCGATGTAATACGTCATCTTTATAAGGAAGGTGGTTTAAGTAGTATTTTTCGCGGAACTGGCGCTACGTTGCTCCGAGATGGTCCAGGATCAGCTGCCTATTTCGGAGCTTATGAGCTTACAAAAAGACTTTTAACACCTCCTGACTCAACATTGAATCCTGCTGCGGTCTTATTTGCTGGTGGTAAGTTTATTATTATTATTATTGTTATTATTATTATTATTAAATTTGTTTTTAATTATTTTGATTTATTACAAATAATATCTAGGTATGGCTGGTGTTGCAATGTGGACAATTGCTATTCCACCAGATGTTATTAAGTCGCGTCTTCAATCTGCTCCTTCTGGTCAATATAAAGGTTCTATGGATGTGTTACGTCACTTGCTTAAGACAGATGGACCATCCGCTTTATTTAAGGGTATTGGTCCTGCGTTATTAAGAGCTTTCCCTGCAAATGCCGCGGCTTTTATGGGATACGAGGCTAGCTTAAAAATGATGAATGCATTATGGTAGAATTAAAAAGGTTAATGATTTATATTCACAGTACTGCAGTACAAAATACATTGAATACGACCAATATTTAATTTTATTCATACCTAACTGATTGTATATGTGATTACTACGACTTTCTGCCTGCCTATGCGCTTAGAGTTTTTTTTTGTGTTCAGAATCGGTTCTATTTTTCGCATGTAAAAAACAGGTTTCGAATCGATTTTACAAATAAGATCGATTCTAAGTTCACTTCTTGTGATTATAAAGTCAATATTTAATTGTGTCTCTGATTTATATTGTCAGTATTCTTGTTAACGAGCTAAAACTGAAAAGGTTAAATTAGCCAATCACGCGGGTGTGGACATTTGGAACGCCCACTAATTTTTGTAGGTCAAAGTATGATTATCGACCAGCCAAATTCTTGGACATTGGACAATGTCCACCGGACTAGGGTTAGCGCGGATCTGCGATAGCATATGCCTTGAAAATCATAACGTGATTTTCAAGGCAAAAACCCCATACGGCGCTTGAGAACTGGTAAATCCGTCATTTCACATGATTTTTATTTAATTCTTATTGGCTAAGGATATCAATGGGGAATATTAATTAACCTCTCTCTCAAAAAGCTCTTTCATATTTGTGCTATGATTTTAGCTAAGAAATTGTTCAATTTTAGTTAGAACATTATCATTTTTTAGCGAAAAAATGACTAGAAAAGGAAAATAAACGTATCACGAATTTGAAATCGTTTCATATTGATCTCTATCTTTATTGATCCTTATCTTGATCCCAGCGCTCCGTTATACTTTGCTACGAACAACTATTGTATTTATAAAAAAAACTGTCCACGTGATTATTGCCGTTAAGTTCATTGTACAACTAATTTATCTGACTTATAAAAACCAGTTTAATATTGTTTAATAACCTGTTTCTTCTTTAGATTATATTCGTTTCCTGAAAACTCTTTTTCTAATTCATTACTAACTACAGTCACACTCCCATATAATCACACTATTTATATAGAAAAATGTGCTTATGTAAAGAATAATTTTGGTTCAAAAAGCAACTATGCTTATAAAGATGATGTGCTTATATTTAGTGATGCAAACGGCTTGAGCCGAGCCGTTAGCCAAACGGCTAAGCCGAGCCAATCATCGGCTCGGTTCCAGGGCTACTAATAAAGCATCAGCTCTAAAAACGGCTCGGCTCAAGACTTTGGAGCCGAACATAGAGCCATGAGCCGATAAGTATATGTTGCCCCAGACTTTATGAAAACAGCTGTAAAAAATCTAATGTTTTATTTTAAAAAAGAGAGCAAATTAAATCTGGAATAACTTTTTTTTTAAAAAATGCATAATACGTTACTTTATCTTTAGAGTAACGGCTCTCAGCTTGAAGTTGTCAGCTTAAAGGTTGGCTGGCTTATAAAC